CGGCAATTACTTTATCGGATTCGTTTCTCTCGATAAGACACAGTTTCGTAAAATTAGTTCCTAGGCGTGCAATTTTGGTTTAGATTTAAATACTCACAGATATATTACTAAAATTTGTAGTCTACCTACTGTAATGTCTATAAGTAACGTAACTGACCCATCTGGCAATCTTTGTATGCTGTACGTAGGTGCTTCGATAGAGCTGTTTTCCTGTTTGTGCACTTCGTTGGGTAAATTTCTGCAGGCAGGCAACTATTCTCGCCTTTGCAGTTGTACCCATCGCTCTGGCTGCCTCGTGACCATAGGTAATATCGGAATGATGCCATTCAGCCGGCGTCACGCAGAAGATAGAATCGTCTTCAAATCCAGATACCTCATAAGGAGCCCCCAGACAAGCAGGCAATCGAGGGTCCAAAATTGACGCCGTTTTATCCCAATGTCCAAAATGATACATATGGCTTATAACTGGGAGAACGCAGAAATAAAGCGCAACTAAGTGACGGCTTTTGCTAGGCGTTTTAATGTCCCTAAGGATCATAGTAAATTACCTAGTGGAGTGTTAGGTGTGGTACCAGTATCGCTTTCGGATCTGAGGGTAGTTGCCGAACCGACACTAGCTGAGCATAATTCCTTTGGTTTCGCTTTACCGGGACTTGAACGAGTACCCCGAGGGGGAGACTCTCCTTGCGATGCAATGACAAGTCGAGGGCTGAAACCGCCCTCCTGATTTTGCACCCTTAAATCTAGGCGTGCTCCATTCTCCTCGAAGGCTCGATTATATTGGTCGAAATTGGAGGAGACGTACTTCTCTTGAATTGTGCCGTTTTCTATTTGCTCGGTGTCTCCACTTGCTGGTAGCATAAATATCTAACAAGGAGATCCATTAAAATGCACCCTACTTCTCGTGTTTTCTGACTTTCAAGAACTACGCGCTTTTGAAAGGTGTGCCGATACTTTTTCCCATTAATTATGAGCTCTTCACAGACAATCTCCTCTTGAGTGCGATGAAGTGGATCCTCCATGGAATTACCTTGTGTGTTCTTGAGCCTATGGTCATCAGGTTCAGATGGGAATGGTGCCGCTGATAACTAGAAAGGAATAACATTTTGTTCAAAGCCACCACGCTCTCGAAGGCTCCAAGCACACAGCCATTAGTGGTCTGGCAACAAGCACCAATCTGTCATTCTTTAATAGTCATGACGAAGGCATCTCACTTACTTGTTGGTTTTCATTATCGATGTCTTGGGTACATTTTGGATTGTGCATTTGAAAGAAGGCCTGTTGCAATTCACAGGTGGCATTAGCAACATCTCTGCGCATCTGCTCCACAGATGGAAGGGGTGGCAGGAAGGACTCCTCTTCTTCACTCGATTTGATTAGAGGACTACGAGCCTCTTCCGACAATCTCACCGCAGCATTGGTTTCGACATTCTCATCACCCGTCGGATTAGATCTTGCCTCGGATATGTTGAGTGTAGCCATGGTGTACTAGAAAACTCGACATTGGTAGCACACATGGAAACAAAGATGTGGAAGTCGCAAAGAATAACAATAGGGGAGGTGAGAGGGGA